AAAGCAGTTCAAGATGAACAAGCACTTAGATATGAGATTGCTTTATTGAAAACTTGGTTGTCTTCTTCAAAATCTTCTTCTTCTTCTTTAACATTGTGCACATTTCAAGATTTAGCATTAACAAAAATCAATGATATATTTACACATCTAATTTTTGATAAACAATTGTCATCAACAGCAACAAATCATCAGACAAAATCTATTGATCAGTTTATGGAAGATATAATAATGAAAACTATCTCTACAGCTGAAACTATTGCCGAAAACTATGTTCAAAAAGTGAACAACGAGAAACAAAAACTATCAAATAATCAAGAGAAATTTAAAAAACCGCCTACTGTCGACAGCGTTAAAATTGCCATTGAAAATCGTCAATTGAATATGGTTGAACGTGCTCAATACAATATTGAACAGATATTAAAGACTATATTTCAAGAGAACATCATTACTAAAACTTAAACAATATGTCAAATAAGGATATTTATTGATACCAAACCAATTTCTTTTTTTTTCTTCATTACTAACACTTACTCTTGCTACAATATAACTTTAGATTAACATGAAATATAATCCATATAATTGTTAAATACATTAATATGTTACTCATTTCTTGATTACTCTAGATATATTGTTCTTAAGAAAATACTCAAGTTTTTGAATAACAACTTATATCAAAACCATTGAAGGTAAGCAATTGTTGACATACATTTATGTACATTGAGAATATTATTATGAAAAATTCTGTTTATTTCTCTTTTCTTTACTTTCACATATCATTTTTAGGATGACTACGAACAACAGTCAAATTGGAAATAGCCCATCAACACCATCGTTTGAAGAGAATGCAAGTCAATCTAATATTAATCTGCTATTATTATATGAGATTCATATAACAAATGAATCAACGCTACAATTCAATGAAATTAATATGGTTCCAAGTCAAATGCCAGCGATTTCGAATACTTCAGAACATGATAATCTAACTCAAAGACGGGAAGTTCGACGAAGACGAGAACAACGAGAATTACTGCAACAGGAACAATTACAACAACAGCAACAGCAGAGGTATTATCAACAGCAGAGGTATTATCAACAGCAGAGGTATTATCAACAGCAAAGGTATTATCAACAGCAAAATCGACAAAGAAGACAACAACAACAACAACAACAACAACAACAACAACATCAATGGTATCACGAACCACGACGACGGCACTACAGAAACTTTTCGGAACGGTTCGATTCATTTGAAGAATCAATGGATGAACTCGACAAGGAGCCACTTTTGGAAGCATATATGTGGGAAAAAATGGACCCAAAGGAACGATGGGAACAAGAACAAATAAATGAATTAGAAAAAACTCATGTCATCGATCCATTCGAACAATTAATATTCATGCAAGATGAACTTGAACAATCCGAACAAATTGATCGACTTCAGAGATTACAAGAAGAGGAAGAACAAACTCAATTGAAACAATGGGAACAAGAACAATTGATGGAACAGAATCGAGCTGATATTATAGCATATGTATCACAAGTAGAAGATGATATTGAACAATTAAAACAAATTGATGTTGTTCAAAAGATGGGACGCGATATAGATAGAAGAGAATTACAACTGCGACAAAAAGAGTCCGATGATGTGGAATTATTTCAATTGGAGCAATGGGAAGATATTGTATTCTTAGTTCAACAATTAAATTAAAACCAAATGTTTTATATTTATTGTTCTATAACATACTTCTCACCTCTCATCTATAATAAATGTTAGATCGTTCACTTTTCCATTACTCATCGAATAGTTTTTTAATTTTTCTTTTCTATTTCTAGATCTTCAACAGAAACACATGATCACAGATCAAACTTGATTATTTTCCTAATTCTAGTAGTTAATCACTATGTAGCATTTAAAGCTTACTCCAAAACTATTCAAGACTGCAAATTTCAATCCAACCAAATCAATACGATCGAAACAATTTAACTCTCAATATTTAGTATAAAAATCTATCAATAACTAATTTAAGTGCCACCCATTTCGTCGCCAACTCTACAGAAATACAAACGCAAATCTTCACAAACAACATAATCGAAAATTCGTCATTAGTAAAAACCATGCCACCCATAATTCCTATTTTCACATCTACTCTCAAGAAGCAATGATAACGAAAATAGGAATAAAAATAATAATCTAAAATCATTGAATCATTCTCTTTACGATATTATTTTTGCTTATTACTATACTTTTATTGTTTTCTCATTTACTCTACTTGATGTTTGATACATTTATTATTAATATTAGGTTCTTACTTATCAACTATTCTCATATTTACTAACTACCAAGCTCAAATACTTCTATTCTCTATTTTTGTTTTTATTCTAGATTCACTTAAATAATAATATGGATTATTTTAATGATATATTTGATGTTCCAGATGATTTGTCTGACAATGATGATCATAATACTACTGAAGATACCAATAAAATATTAGAAGAATACAATGAAGATTTTGATTTTAATTATCTGAACACAAATGTAGATCATGAAGTAATGATTATTGAACAGGATGATATCACGACTAATGATAATCAAGTAATTACAATCGACTACCCTATCTATACTCTTTATAAAAACTACATTCTATATATTAATCTTTTATAATTTAGATAGTTCAACAACAAATTCTATCACAAAAATTAAGTCAAATATCGACAAACAATGATACTGATGATGTTCCAATAGAAAATACAGTTAATGATAAAATCAAACGATCAATAAGTACATCATCGACTTTAGATATTGTTTCGAAGAAATTTCGATCATTAGAAGAAGATGATGAGAATGATGATGGTGATGAGAAAGAAAAACTACCAACATATTTACAATCAACTAGTACCTTCTTAAATAAATTCATGACTGATGATATAATAAATCGTATATCAACAACAATTGCTATCGAAGATTTAAGGCAATTAGCTATCTTGAAACATAAGATCAGTATGATTAGTATACGTCAACAACTATGGACAATTTATTTAAAATCAGGTATGGGTCAATGGAAAACAGATGAAAGTCATCGAATAGATGTTAATCGACGAATTTGGCCAGATGAAGTTCTTACTATAATGTCATTAAAGTTAAAGAATAATAATAATAATAAAAATCAAGATGAACAAAAATTATGTGAAGAGATTGTTTATGAATATTTGGAAGACTTCAATAAAGCTACGATATATTATTGTGAAGAATTTGCAAAAAGAAAAAATAATTTAATTGGTTTTACTGATGAAATCGAGAAGAGCATTGAAACATTTGTTCAACAACATGGTATACAATCACAGCAAATGAAATTGAATTATAAAACGACTATATTAAAATATGGGTATGATGATCAAATTCTTCAACGTGAATATTTACGAACTAACCCAACAAAATATCAAGTAAATTTTTCTTTTAAACTCAAAAATGAAGTTTTATTTTTTATTTTTCTCTCTCTCTGTATGTAGCAAGATATGGGTGATCGTCTATATGAATTAAGATATGAATATGTAAAATCTAAACAAGAATTAATTGAATTAAAACGACGTCTTCTATGTAATAAACCATCAGCAAACTCGATGAATCCTATGTTATTGTCAAAGCTAACATCTAAAATTGTTGATACAATGACAATGAATGCGAATTCAACTCAATTAGATCAACAAGAAAAAGAATTACAACAACATATAACGGATTCAATAGCTTTATCAATGTCTGAAGCGGAAATCAAAATATATGAAGATGGAATATCATTAAATGAACTAGCTAGTCCAATAGTCATTGATGACAATAAGAATGAAAGTTTAAGTGGATATCAAGTCGATCTTATATTTCGGCGCTTTACAATTATCAATAAAAAATTAGAATATATAGGTCAATTTAGAATGAATTATTATCTACGAAGTTCTAATCATGATATCGAACAAGAACGTATAAATAATGGTATAATTCTTTCTTGTTCACCAACAATATTTATTGATACATCAGTACATCATCGTCCTCTATCAACTGAACAACTAAAACTTTTAAATCGTGGACCTACATATGTGCCACCATGTCAATCCTATGTTTCATTGCCATCATTCGAATCACCCGACTCTTTGATTGATAGAACAAAAAATCAATATAAAGTATTACAACATGAATTAAATATTCTATTTCCAAAATATAACAAAAATCAACTTGAATCTGCAAATATCAATAAACAAATTAAAGATCTATACGTTAACATGTTTTCTACTTCGTTAACATCGACGATTCGTCAACGTGCTAAATATGAAAAAGAATTAGTGCAATCGATTCGAATCTATCTCAAAGAAAATAATTTAATTTTACGACGAACAACTGATCAAAGAAATAATTTCTACCTTGGCAATAGAAAAGATTTTGAAGACAAAGCTAATCAATATACAATGGATACATATGATTTTGAATATTGTCAAGATGTCGATGAAACCAATCTTCGACAAACATACAAATATTTAAATGAGATTGTAAGATCAATAAACTCAGATATAAAAAAAATGTTTGATAGTAAAAAAGGTAAAGACAATGATCCAATGAAATTACATATCGATTTTGATCAAATTCAATTATCATATTTATATTTTTTACCTGATGTTTCTAAAGTATAATGTTTTTATTCTTTTATTTATTCTATTACTTTTTCTTTTCTATTTAGAGAAATGATATATCGTTAAAAGCAATCATAACAGGATCATCTAAATCTAGTATAACATCACGATTGTCTCAATTTTTAGATGAATTACTTCGACCTATTACTCAACGTGCTATAGAACCAACTACATTTATCAATGGTATTGATTTTCTTCAAAAACTAAATCTATACATTAATGATAAGAAGAATGATTTTAATTCAAAAACAATGTTGGTAACAATTACTATTAAAAATTATCATACTATGATACCTCATGGAAAAATGCTTACAACCCTCGAAAATTTTCTAAACGATCAACTCGGTTATTCGGCGTTTGTAGGAAATATTTCTCAAAGAAAAGCTCTCGATTTAACAGGATTATTTTTAAGAAATAATTATTTTTATTATAATAATAAAATATATCGTTGTACAAAAGGTAGTCCAAAAGATTTAGTATTGAGTGAAACATTATGTCACATCTATGCATTCCATTGGCAAAAATTATTATTAGAAAAACTTTCATTACAAACACAGTTTTATGGCAGGTAAAATGATTTTTCTTGTTTTTATCACACTCAAACAAGACTTGTTTGTGCTTTTTATTTTCTTATTGTTATTATATAGATGTCAAAATCAAATCTTTTTTACATGGAATCGATCAACAAATACACTTCGTGAAATTCTTCAAACTTTTGGTAGTGAACATGCACATATAGAATTTGATATAAAAATAGATTCAACTGTTCCATTCTTAGATGTACATGTTGAAAATTATCATGGTACATTGTTTACTCGGGTTTATCATGATTCAAACAGTCAAAAATATACTTTACCGTATGTAATTGGTAATTCTAGAAGCGCACATAGTCATTGGTTACGATCGGCACTCATACGTGCAGTTCGTTATTGTATATCTGTCTATGATTTTAATCAAGAACGACTTTATTTACAAGCAACTTGTTTAGTTAATGGTTATTCATTAGAATTTGTTGATGATCGTATTCGTCATTTTTTTAAACATTTTGATGGTGTATCACTTCTTTCAGTTTTAAATCAAGATGAATATGATAAACTTCGTCGTCGTCTAATGAATTATATAAATGAACAAAAAGAATATAATTTGAAAAATAAAGAATTAGAGAAGAATAAACAATTGATTCGATTGAATTATTTACATGAATTTGGTCCGAAATACGAATTTAATAGACAATTAAAAGAAATCTTATCAAACAATTTGGTCGACAAAAAGATTCCTTTTATAAAACAACAATTAACGATTAATCTTAAAACTATCCATCAATATTCATTAAACGGTTTATTAAGTCAACAAAAACCATCTCATCCATTATTCAATAAAGAGAAAATGTTTTTTTAAGCTGAACTTTTTATTCTTTTCATTTATTCATCTAGGTTGTCTTCTGTTTTTCTTCTCTCTAGTTTTTATTAGATTAGTTATCTATTGAACGAGATTCATTTTTTTGTCATTTCTTATTTAATTCTTGACATTGAATGTTCTCATTTCATTGTTGTTCGTCTTCTAGATAAAACAAACAAAAAGAATAATATGTCGCATATGAATATCGACAATAATAGTCAAGAAACATTGAAAGCTCCCAATGAAGATATTCAAGATCGTCCGAATGAAATACTTTCATCAATACACATATTCACACCGCAACAACAACAACGTCTCTATCAAGATGAGCTATGTGCAATATCCTCAGGAATAAACTCTCCTGAGACTGATCAATATCATGAAAGTTATTCACAGCAACAAGTCAACGATTACGAGACAAGGTCAGATGGTGATATTAAATGGTTAGAAGATGATTATAAAGAGCATATAAAACAAATTGAACATGTTCAAGAATTAAAAGAAGAAGAGAAACAACAATGTGAATTAAAACTATCCAAACAGTTAGACGATACAGAACAATGGGAAGCAATGCTTTTACAAAATCTAATAACACTTTCTGAAAAACAATCGAATCAGGTAAGATTACAACTATAGATTGTACAGAAAGATTTAATATATATCTTTTGAAATCATTGATTTCATTACTAGGATTTATATCAACCACAACAAGAAAATAATTCTTTTGAATATCTCAAATACATGTCACGTCATAGTAAAAGAAAATAATATAGGCTCATACTCTGATTTAAGTGATTTAAATGGCCAACATTATGTAATCTTATAGAAGATTATATCGTATAGTTTAACGTTAAATTGTAGTGACTGTATTTACTTATTATCATTATTATTATGTATTGATTTTTATTTTCAATTGTAGTGTTCGCTGATTGACTGTCGTCTTACTTTTCTTCTTCTTCTCCTCCTCCTCCTCCTCCATCATCACTCATCTAAATACTCTCCTTATAATGTTCTAGGAGATAATAGGCCTTATCATTGATCTATAACTTACATTATTTCATTATATTTTAAATAAAAACGACAAAAAAAACTATAATAAGTCAGAACATATCACATGATTTATCGTGGTTTTATGGCGACCAACTATGTTACGTTAACATTATGTATCCATTGATGATTTACCATTCGATTCATTATCGAGTAATTCTCATGAAACAAAGATTTATTTTATAAAATCAATTTTTTTCTTCTATTTAGATAATGCTATTCCATATACTCCACGGTACAAAAAGGATTTAGTGCATCCTTCCACTCAAATAATCAGACAGCATGTGAATTGCGTCAAATACGACTATCATGGATTTTAAATTTGATAAGACTTTTAAGCAAGATTGAAATCTATAGATCATGACAGCATGTCACACGTACCCTCAAGATGTTGATCAGAAATGATTGATCAAGATTCTTCTTTTTAGCAATTAAATTTAAAAATGATATTCACTTCAAAACATTCATATACATCGAACGATCTCTTCAGATGGAAACATTGAGAGAAGAGAAGAGAAGAGAAAAAGAAATTTCATCGTTCATTTTTCTTCTTCTTCTTCTTCTTCCTTTATATTAATCGTCTAGTCTATATGCATATATGGATTATAAATGTATTCTTTAGATTAAATTCATTATTTATTCAACTTTCTTCTTCTTCTTCTTATTTCCTTATCAATACAATGTCCATGATTAATCAAACACCTTATCAAGAATTGATCTTTTGGAGTCATATCCTACAACAACATCCATCATTAGTAATGTCAGAAATGAATCAACTCTTACATACTGTGGATAACGTACAAAATTATCAAAGATCGCGATTAGCCATGAAAAAATACAAAAAATTCTAACATCATTTCTTTCTTTTTATGATTTGTTTTCGTTTCATAGTTATCATTGTTGCAGAGTATCATGTTCTCATGTCATTTTAACTCTCAATATTTATTCAACTATATCTATTCATCCGTTTAATTTTTCATTTTCATTTCAGATAAGATTATTATTGAATGGCTACTCATTATCATACATCTATACAACTTTACTTTAGTTACACTGAAATAAAAGAAAAATCAATGAACTCATCATCAAACATCTGTCTGCAATGAGTATCAACAACAACAATAATAATAGCAACAATAGTGACAGTAGCCAAATCGACAATATTCCATTGGAACAATTATTGAAAAATACTCCAAACGAAGCCAACGTGACAGAAATATTACAATCTGATGTGATTATTAATACCAGTCAATCAAGTATAGAGTTTACTAGAACAAATGTGATTCCAAATCAATTACCATTCATTTCACATGTTTTAGATCAAAATAATATCATTAGAAGACAACATGCTCGACGATCACAACTCTATCATCCAACCCGACAACATCATCGACAGCAGGAATATACACGTAAAAATAACAAACGAAGATCTCAATTCTGTAGTGAAAGATATCCTGCAAATGATGACTCAAAAGATATGTCTATAAACGATGAATGGGAACAAGAACAAATCAATGAATTGGAAACATTTGCTGCTCTTGAACAACTATCATCAATACAAGATGAAATTGAACAACAAGAAAATATTGATATAGTTGAACAAATACATGAACAAGAGCAACATGAACGAAAGAATGAAGAGTTAAGACAATTAGAACAATGGGAACGAGAAGTAGAAAAACAGTATCAAGAACGACTACAAAAGATGACTTTCGAACAACGCTTCGATTTGGTTTTTAAAGAAAAATTTCGAGATTACCAAAGCTTCAATCAATATCATGAGAATATGGAGTTTATGGAACAAAAACAAGTACAAGATTTCGAAGAAGAAGAACAATATGAGCCTGATGAATTTCATCATAATGATCAAGAACCAACGCAAGGTTTTGAACATCTTGAAGATGAGCATACCTTTATATTAGCAAGAACTTCCGAAGAAAAAAAAACATGTGCTACAACTAGACTATCTAAATTAAATACATCGAAGATTATAGAACGAACCATTATACATACAAATGTTCTATATATTTGTTCTGAAGAACAATGGCAACGAAAAGTAAACAATTATATGCAACAAACCAGTCATTTTTTATTCATTGGAGATATTACATCAGAAACATCAGCTAATGATATTAAACGAATACTTATGAACATGAGCAATCTAGTCGTTAAAACATTACATGTTTTATTATATCGTAGAGCAATCAGCAATGAACAATATAGTGACATGATGTTTTACAATCAATCAATCAAATTTGATGTGAATAAATTGGATTTTATACCGAAAATACGTCATGTAAGTAGTAACTTTTCTTTTATCTTATCTTCAAATCCTAGTTATCAATCAATAGAATAAAATCATCATTGAACCGATGATAACGTCTTCTTCAGTAGAACCTATGAAAGGAATTCTACACTTAGTCAATAATCTTCTTCAACCATTAATTCAATGCATATTCCATGCGAAAAGATTTCCTACAGCAAATGAAGCCATCGAAGAGTTAATAAAATATGAAGTAGAAGGTAATCTTCAATCAAAAACATTCTTTGTTACCATCCAAATTCATGATCTTCGCACTACGTTATCTCATGATGTAATGATTGAAGCATTACAGCATTTTTTTCAGCATTATGCACGTAGTATACTAACAAGTGGAATACCGACGATAACTGTTATCCAACTCATTCGTTTGATTCTTGAAAATCAATTTTGTATGTATGAAAATAAATTATATCGACAGACTGTTGGTAGTTCAATTGACTCACCATTGATAACAGCATTAATCGAGATTTATCTATTTTATTGGCAATATGATTTAGTGCGCCGATTGAATTCGTTAGGAATGCGATGCTTTGGTAGATGTTTTAATCAAATATTTTTTACTTGGAATAAATCAAAAGAAGAACTACTCACTTTTCTTTATGAAAACAAAAATAGAACACATTCCAAAGATACTCAAATTCAAAAGACTATTTCAATAGATTATAAAATAAATTATTTAGACGCTGAAATTAGTCATCATCGAGGGATTTTACATACAAAAGTATATCATAATTCAAAATTTGAACCGTATGCATTACCGTATTTATCGAAAACAAGACGAAATCAACCATTTAATAATGATGTGGTAATACTATTACGTGCTGCTCTATATCGTGCTATTCTCTATTGTTCTAATGTTTACGAATTTGACAATGAACGATTGTATATTGAAATATCATTTCTTCTCAATGATATTTCATTATATCGTATTCAACAGATCATTGAAATTTTTTTCATTGAATTCCATATGGACAACAACGATATGCCTATGAATGAATATGCTTACCAAGTTTTCCGAATACATGTTCGACTCCACTACCAACAACACTCTAAATATTATTTAGAAGGACGAAGATGGTAATATGCAATACAAGAAAACGACTACAATTGGTTGTACTGAGTTTCTTTCTTTCTTTGCTAGTTGCTCTTTAACTTAAATATATCAACACATGTTGTTTTGATTTCTTTTAATGCATAATATGTCAAATTTACGTTTTCATCATATAAATATATTCATGACCTATTTTTCTTCTTCTTCTTTCAGATCATATCTACATTTCTTACGTATTCAATAAGAATAAAAAAAACACAATCTTCCATCAAACTCAATTGATATGAATTCTTCGAATGAAATAAACAATTCAGCGAATATAACTGAGAAGAAATCAAATAAAAACAACTCGATACCATTGACATCATCATCAGCGACGACGACGACGACGACGGCAACAATTCAACAAGTAAAAATATTTTTCTCTTCTGTACGAAAAATA